GCCCTGTGATAGACTGGTGACCTGTCCAGGGTGTTCTGCTACACAAATTGCTAAAACCGTTAATGCTGCTACAATAGAAAGATGAAAGAATACTTTGTGCATCACAGCTTGCTGCATATGGGGCTACATAGCTGATGACCAGCTGCTGAAACACATATAATGAATACATGAGCATCAGAGCTGAACCATGGAGCAACTGAAGAAGGTGACCTGATCTGATGAACCATGTTTTCTTTTAGATCATGTGGAAGGTCAGGTGTGTTTTTACCTGGGGAGGAGATGGCAGTAGAATGCACAGTGGGAGGATGATAATCTGGTAGAGGATATGTAATGCTCTGCTGGGCCACCTTGAGTACTGGCGTTCATGTGGATGTTACTTTGATATGTAACACCTCCCTTAACACAGTTGCAGACTCTCTTTCACCAGAACAATGCCTCCTACTACACTGCAAGCACTGCTCAGAAATTATTTGAGAAAGACAACAAAGAGTTTAAGATGTTGATTTAGCATCCAAATTTCCTAGATCTCAGTACAATCAAGCATCTCCTATTTTGGTCCCTGATACCACAGGACACCTTTAGAGGCCTAGGGGTCCATACCTTAGTAAGTCAGAGGTGTTTTTTGTGATACAAGTGGAACTGACGCAATATTAGGCAGCTAGTTTTAATGTTGGGTTAGGTTTTTCAAATCTGTCTCAATAACTTCCTCTGCCATGTCCGTTGACACAGCAGTTTGGGGTGGGTAGTTAAAGGAAATGCACTGGGTTAGGGTTAGGCTAAGCAGCAATAGACAAGATGTAGTTTAGACTGCAAAAGAATATTTGAAGTATCACTGTGCAAGTTTATAATTGTAAGACCCAGATGAACAACAGAATAAGGACAGCCGCCACCTCACTCGGAATAGGGAGACTGGGGCACCCTCCTGGAGCCAAGCCTGGGCTGAGTGCCGCCATGTTGGAGTTCTCCCCAGAGAACGAGAGGGTCGCCTCTCTGCAACTGCGTGTTGCAGAGGGGGAAACTCTGACTGTCACTTATGCTTATGCACCAAACGGCAGTTCAGAGTATTCGGCCTTCTTGGAGTCACTGGGTGGTGTCCTGGAAGAGGTGCCACCTGGGGACTCCATAGTTCTCCTGGGGGACTTCAGTGCTCACGTGGGCAATGACGGTGAAACCTGGAGGGGTGTGAGTGGGAGGAACGGCCTGTCTGATTTGAACCTGAGCAGTGTGTTGTTTTTGGACTTCTGTGCTAGCCATGGATTGGCCATAACAAACACCATGTTAAACATAAGGTTGCTCATAAGTGTACCTGGTACCAGAGTACCTTAGGCCAAAGGTCGATGATCTACTTTGTAGTCATATCATCAGACCTGTGGCTGTATGTTTTGGACACTCAGGTGAAGAGAGGAGCAGAGCTGTCAACTGATCACCTGGTGGCGAGTTGGATCCGATGGTGGGGAACGCTGCCGGACAGACCTGGTAAACCCAAACGTGTAGTGGGGGTGAACTGGGAATGCCTGGCGGAGGCCCCTGTCCATGAGGTTTTCAATTCCTACCTCCGGAAGAGTTTCTCCTGCATCCCGGGGGAGGTTGGGGACATGGAGTCAGAGTGGGCCATGTTCAAAGCCTCCATCGCAGAAGCGGCCGTGAGGAGCTGTGGCCAGAAGGTCACTGGTGTCTGTTGCGGCGGCAGCCCCAAAACCTGCTGGTGGACACTGGCGCCGAGGGAAGCCGTCAGGCTCAAGAAGGAGACTTTTCGGGCCTGGCTGCCTCAGGGGTCTCCTGAAGCAGCAGGCAGGTACCGGCTGGCCAAAAGGGCTGCAGCTGCCGTGGAAGCTAAAACTCGGGTGTGGGAGGAGTTCAGGGAGGCTATGGAGAAGGACTTTCAGTCTGCCTCGAAGAAGTTCTGGCAAACCATCCAATGCCTCAGAAAGGGGAGGCAGAGATTCGCCCAGGCTGTGTACAGCCGGGGAGGAGAACAGCTGACCCAGACTGGGGATCTTGTTGAGCTGTGGAAGGAGCACTTCAAGGAACTCCTGAACCCGGTAAACACGTCCTCTGCTAAGGGGGCAGAGCCTGAGGACTCGGAGGTTTCTGTGTCCATATCCATGGTAGAGGTCGCCAAGGTAGTTAAAAAGCTCCTTGGTGGCAAAGCGCCAGGTGTGGACGAGATTCGCCCCGAGATGCTGAAGGCTTAGGACATTGTCAGACTGTCATGGCTGCCACATCTCTTCAATGTCGCGTGGGCATCAGGTACAGTGCCTGTGGAGTGGCAGACAGGGGTGGTGGTTCCCATTTTCAAAAAGGGGGACCGGAGAGTCTGTTCCAATTATTGGGGCATCACACTTCTCAGCCTCCCTGGGAAAGTTTACTCTAGGGTGCTGGAAAGGAGGCTCCGATCGATTGTCGAACCTCGGATTCAGGAGGAGCAATGTGGATTCCGTCCTGGTCGTGGAACATCGGCCCAGCTGTTTACCCTTACGGAGCTGCTGAGGGGGGCATGGGAATTCGACCTGCCAGTCCACATATGCTTTGTGGATCTGGAGAAGGCCTATGACCGTGTTCCCCGAGGGACTCTGTGGGGGGTACTGAGGGAGTATGGGGTACCAGGCTATGAGCCATACGGTCCCTGTACAACCAAAGTGCGAGCTGCATCTATATTCTCGGCAATAAGTTGGACACGTTCCCAGTGGGTGTTGGACTCTGTTAGAGCTGCCCCTTGTCCCCGATCCTGTTTGTGGTTTTCATGGACAGGATCTCAAGGCACAGTCAGGGTGAGGAGGGTGTGCGGTTTGGGGACCTCAGGATTGCGTCTCTGCTGTTTGCAAATGACGTGGTACATTTGGCTTCATCAGACCGTGACTTTCAGCATGCACTGGAGTGATCTGCAGCCGAGTGCAAAAAATCTATAGCATTTTGTAAATGTTCTTTCTGCTCTTGTGTCTCCAGGGGTTCCTCAGCTGGTCCTGCTCACTAAAGTAGACGAAGCCTGTCCTTTGGTGAAAAAGGATGTGAGAAACGTTTATAAGAGCGGCTACATTAAGGAACTGGTGAGGATTTTAGGATTTTACACAAACTAAAGTCCAGCAGACTTGTTTTTTTAGTTAGGAGGTATAAACTGCCTTCATCTAAATCTTAACGTACTGTGTGTTCTGTGATCCAGATGCAGAAGGTCAGCACTCGGCTCGGCGTGCCGTTGTCCTGTGTTGTTCCAGTGAGGAACTACAGTGAAGAGTTGGAGTTGGACTTGAACTGCGACATCCTGCTGCTCAGCGCCATCATTCAGATGCTTCGCTTTGCTGATAATTACTTTGATGATGTCAGTGACCGACTGAGTGAAGTAAAACTCAAAGAGTAGGAAGGGTTTGTACAGCAGATGTAACAACCTGAGCAACTGATGAAATGTCCCTCACAATGATCCATACATGTGCCAACACATGGTCCTGCTATGTGCCAGTTCACTGTGTTATCAGAATTAGCAGGACAGACCAGGATTCCTCTCCTCACTAAAGATTTCCAAGAATACTGTGAGCACAGTGTCTCTGCGTTGTCCTCAGATGTCCGCTGTCTGTCTTAGGAAAGTCAGTGATCTGATCCTCAGTTTAACTGTGTCCCTGAGCTGCAAAATATCCAGTTTTCTTTGTATCAGTAGGAAATGAGTAGTTTATAAAGAGTGCCATGTAATTGTTATGTTATCAGTCTCATAACAGTAATTATCATTTATACATTTGATGTTTTAATTACGCTGTTGGCTCATAACAGGATATTTCATCAGAAGTAAACAAGTGGGCTTAATACAGTGGTGTAATGACTTCGGACATGTACACACTCCTGGCTCACATTTATGTTCACAAATATATAATTATATAAGCTACTCTACTCAAAATAGCAATAAATGAAAACGTACCTTTACATTGGAGTTGTGTCATTTCCAGCATGCTTTTCTGATTTCCTTACATTTTGTACAACTTACATAATGCAGGTTATATATAAATCAATGTACTTCAGCTGCAACTAGATCTGTCATCGTTACTAAACTTTATTCATTCAATGGGGTTCATTGGAAAGGTTTGTGATACTTTGGTGTGACGTCAATATAGACAATATGTGTGTGTGTGTGTGTTTTCCATCAACTTTGTAGCAATGGGACTTTGTTTCAGGGTTTGTCAGTGACTCTAATGGCTCTTGCATTTATGTTAACTTGACAATTTGTGATTGTTAAAAAGAGAAATAAAAGCATATCTACTCAAATGCATCATTTCTTAAATGACTGCGTTTCACATTATGCTGCTCTCAAATTAATGGAATAAGACTGGACTGTAAAATGGCAGCTGTCTTCTCAGTGAAAAGAATGATTCTAATTAACATGAATGGTGCTCAGTGGTGACAGAGGAACTTCCACAAAATGCCTCATTTTCTCCAGTCGTAGGTAGAGTGTTTCCCATTGTGGTCAATGAATAAATAGCCTAATGCTTGATAATGGCTCATGACTAACTATTATCATCAAAACACTTTTTTTACTGTGTGTTTTGTGATCAGATGCAGGTGGTCGGTGCTTCACACTCTGCAGACGTGTGCTAAAGTGGGCGTGGTGGAGGTGTGAACTTCAGGTTTAGTAGCAGGTATAGTTAGGTGCCAACAGTATAACAGTGGAATGACACTTTATGTTGAGGGAAGATAGAACCTGAGGGAAGCATTAAAAAAGGGAGAATACAATGGACCCTAAAATGGACCCTTGAGGTACTCCACATGTGATGGGGGCAGAAGAGGAGGACCAATTCTAACCAAACAAGACCTGTTCACTAGTGAGGAAGCAAACCACTTTAGTGCCAACCTGGACCTTCACACATTTTAAAAGGATGTGATGATGATATTGTTACATTCATGTCATTTTCACACCATCAACATTCAAACCTCCCGTATTCCACCTTTAGGTGTTCACACATTATTTTAGGAAGGCTACTCCATTCCTAACCCATAGTCCCATCAGACTCATGCTTCAACCAGCTTTTGTTATCATGTTCCACAATTGTAAGGCATATGGCTCATTTTTAATCGATGTAAGGGATGTTTGTGAGGGCTTGAAATGGTATAAAAGGAACTTTTCCTTGTGTTTTTTTTTTCCTCTCTTAAAGAACTGTACAAGATTTTTACAAAGTAAACTCTTTCAGAGCACTGCTGGTGATGGTGAATGTAGATTGTTCTATTTTTAAACAGTAAACATATAAAACCATTGTGAGGCAGCTGTGCCACCATCATTACAGATCGTGTGCTGTTTGTGGGTCTGAATGCACGTATAAATCTGCAGTAGCAATGTCAGGACACAGGGTGGAGCTCATTGACCTGCAGGACAGATTCTGTTCTGTTTGCTGAGTCAGCAGTGACCAGTGAACTTTACGCTAACATCAGACGTTGCTGATGACTCATCCTCACCTGTCTCATCACCTGTGAACCACAGAAGGTCAACAGACAAGCGGCTGTTCCAGTCCTCCGCCCCTTTCGTCCCTCATCTTTTCAGCTCTCTGCAGTCCAGGAAGCCACCTGCTGGAAAAGGAATACTGCATTTCTCCGCTGCTTGTTTCTTCAGCTTGTGTTGCTCAGCTCAGCAGGGAGGGTCACCTCGACAGGCCCTTCCTTTGGAGAGGATGGGGTCTGAGATGAGGAGCTGGACGAAGAGGAGGCAGAGCTCTGATTAGTGGTGTTATTGTTTGATCTTTACCTCCTGACTCATGCTGCCAACAGTTTGTTGGTTGGGCACTGGTCCTACTGTATCCTTCTCCATGGTTGTGAAGTCACTGTCAGATCTTCTCGATTCTCTGGCAGTTCTTTTCCATGTAGAGCCATGATGCAGACATACAGATGGAAACAGCCATTAGGTCTAAAACTCTGAAAGTTCTGGTGTTCACAGCTTATTTGATCAACATCTACATTAGGTGTGCTCAGTTTTGTTTCAGTCAACACTGGTCTTCTAACTTGTGTGTCAGTGATCACAGCTGTATGTACTTTTGTTGTTTCTACCCTGGGGCCTGTATTTGTTTTACACTGTTCATGAGAGGAAATAATGCATTACACAATAATTCACTTATGGAGAGTGTTTTATTCTGAAAGTGAAGTGGATCTAATCTGAGACTTCCAGTTTCATTTCTCCGGCTGCAGACTTGCTCACACACATTTGTGCGTCTGCCTGCAGTCGGCTGGATCTCTGCTCATCTTCCCTCAGCTGTCCAGAAGAGAAGCAGGTAGGACTGAAAACACCAAAGTGCTGCATGTTTTCACCTAATTTATATCAGCC